CCCTTAATAATTTACTCTTAGAAAAGTATTAATAGAGTAGCCAGGCATGGTGGCAGGCGTCTGTTGTCTCAGCTACTTGGGAGGCTGAGGCAGGAGAATCGCTTGAACCCAGGAGGCAGAAGTTGCAGTGAGCCAAGATTGCACCACTGCACTCCAGCCTGGGTGACAAAGCAAGGCTCCATCTCAAAAAAAAAAAAAGTATTAATAGGCCAGGCACCATGGCTCATGCCTGTAATCCCCGCACTTTGTGAGGCTAAGGCAGGCAGATCATGAGGTCAGGAGATCAAGACCATCTTGGCCAACATGGTGAAACCCCATCTCTACTGAAAATACAAAAATTGGCCAGGCATGGTGGCGGGTCCCTGTAATCCCAACTACTTGTAACCGTTAAGGCAGAGGTTGCAGTGAACCGGTATCACGCCACTGCACTCCAGCCTGGGTGAAAGAGCAAAACTCCATCTCAAAATAAATAAATAAATAAAAACTAATAATCCAGTACATCAAAGTCTTAAGTGCTACTAACAGTGTGGAACAATATCCTTTGGTGCCCCATGCAAGTGAGAAAAATACGCAAGAGGTAGGGTATATAAAAAGGGCAGAAAAGGAAGGAAGCCACAGATGAAGGCAGAGTGAAGACACGGTAGAGGTCATACAGGAAAAAATTAGTCCGATTTTAGAAACTTGTTTCAAAAAATTACATCATGTTTGGCACAAGAATAATCAGAAGCTTAATATATTTTACTACCAACCTTGCACAAAAGCCATAGCCTACTTCTTGCATGAAATCAGCCAAAGAGCTCTCCATCATGGTTTTAGCTACCCCTCCGGAATCAGGCAGGATCCTGTCCATTAGAATGTCCCGTTTTTCAGGGTATAAAAGTGGTGCAAGCACCACAGGACAGCGTTCTTGGGGAAAATCTAAGAAAGGAAAAAGGTTATAAATGCTATACGAATTAAAAACAAACAATCCTCTTTTGCTCTCTCCAAAAGCCCCCTCAAACCCAATTCTCTCACAAGTTCATATTTAAAGCCAAGTTTATTTCATTTTTTCCAGCTTACGAGCCTAAGTTATGATTTCTATATCAGTTCCAAAATTTGACTATTTTTATATGACAAAAAATGCTCATCAGTATACCTTTTTTTTTTTT